AGACAGTGCTAGAGGGGGAGGGACAGAGAGAGAGAGGGAGACACAGAACCCAAAGCAGGCTCCAGGCTCTGAGCTGTCAGCACAGAGCCTGACACGGGACTCAAACCCATGGACCATGAGATCGTGACCTGACCCAAAGTCAGACACTTAACCGACTGAGCTGCCCAGGTGCCCCAGAAGTACAGGGGTTTTTAAATCATTATAATTAAGGACTAAACTGTAAAATTTGAAAGATTATTTTATGTACATTAATTTGGGGGGTGTGTTTTTGTGTTATTCCAGGAAGTAGAATCAAATTCTCCTGCAGCACTGGCAGGTCTTAGACCTCACAGTGATTATATCATTGGAGCAGATACAGTCATGAATGAGGTAATTAGTGTGTTTGTTAATAATGAAAGTTGTATATTCTCATTAATGTTAAGTTCAGAAGTATATTTGCATACTTCACATTTAGAGTTGAAATTTAGTTCTTGGCTGATCAAGATAACTTTCACAACAGGGTGTTAAACAGAATATCTGGGAGGTATCTTCCTGGGTATAGCTGTGAGGAAAAATACATATGTGTGGCAGTTGCACAGATTTTGTATGAGATATACAGAAATCTCTTACATACTTCAAGACTAAATCAAATGTTCATTTTAGTTATTGATTTCATTTTCTCTTCCTCTTTTTAAGGGATCAAAGTTGACTCAGCTGCATTAGATCCTTTTCCTTGTCTGTTAGCTAGTGGAAGTATATATTGCTAAAAAAAAGTGAGAGGAAAAATATGATGCCCAGGTAACCAGGTCTTACTAATGAAGAGTAAAAGCAGAATATGTAGAATTTGGGTGTAGAAGAGTTTTGCTAAACTTGCTGACTAGGTCTTAGAGAACTGGACATAAGACCTTGCACATAGGAGCTAGGTAAAATATCTGAAACCTTGTTTGGAATGTTGGTTTTAAGGAATGAATTTTATGTCTAGCAGCAGGGCCCAGTCTGTACTTTTTAAAAAGGTTTTCCAGGTGATTCCGGTATTAACCAGGTTTGACTCACTGTTCTAAAGTTCAGTAATGTAAAAATGTTTCTTTCCTGTGATGCTTTTGCAGTCTGAAGATCTGTTCAGCCTTATTGAAACACATGAAGCAAAACCATTGAAACTTTATGTGTATAATACAGACACTGATAACTGTCGAGAAGTGATTATTACACCAAATTCCGCATGGGGTGGAGAAGGCAGGTAAGATCACCTTTTAGACTAAGTAATGATTGCATAAACTTACAGTAAACATGATTGCTTTTATTTTTATTTTTTTTTTTTTTAATTTTTTTTTTTTTTTTTTTTTCAGAGTTTATTTATTTTTGGGACAGAGAGACAGAGCATGAACGGGGGAGGGGCAGAGAGAGAGGGAGACACAGAATCGGAAACAGGCTCCAGGCTCTGAGCCATCAGCCCAGAGCCTGACGCGGGGCTCGAACTCACGGACCGCGAGATCGTGACCTGGCTGAAGTCGGACGCTTAACCGACTGCGCCACCCAGGCGCCCCGCTTTTATTTTTAAACAAGTTACTGGTTTATTATAAGACTTTTCTTGAGAAAAGGAAAGAGCTGACCTGGAATATCGAATTCAGTAATCTATTTTTTTTTTTAATGTTTTGTTTATTTTTGAGACAGAGAGAGACAGAGCATGAGCAGGGGAGGGGCAAAGAGAGAGGGAGACACAGAATCGGAAGCAGGCTCCAGGCTCTGAGCTGTCGGCACAGAGCCCGACGCGGGGCTCGAACTCACAAACCACGAGATCATGACCTGAGCCGAAGTCAGATGCTTAATGGATTGAGCCACCCAGGCGCCCCTCAGTAATGCATTTTTTTAAAGAACATATTTAGGTAGTGTCCTTTTCCTTACTGATCTAAGAGTGAACAGCCTTGTTTTGTTTTGTATTTTAATAAAACAGTTTTCAGTTTTATTTTCCCAGTTCCTTCCCCAGCAATGGGACAATACAATTGTAACTTTGTCTAGCTGCTGGGGAAATTCCTTAGCATTTTGTGGAAAACTGTTGGCTTTCAGAAGTGGACAAACTAGCCAAAAGTTAGACAAAATTGCAGCAACTATAAAAAGCAATTTAGAAAGAGGATCAAGCCACGCAGAGAAGCAAACTAGAAAATCAGTTTCTCGGGACTGTTCATCAAGTCAATTTCCTAATTTCAAAAAGCCAAAGCAAAACATGTGGACTTAACTTTGCCTCTGTAGGTCTTTCAGCTGTTGTTTAAATTGTACAAGTTTTTCATTGTCTTGAAAGCCTTGTTTAATTGAGGAATTTTTGAGCATAAGCCATAATTATAGGAAAGCCTAGGGTTTGGAAACTTTCACAAATATTTTATAAAAGTTCCAGTAATTGCTGGTAAGGGGATGACCTAGTTGACACAGGCAGAGAAAGCCCGTATTTGTTCATAATCATTCCCCACACTACCTGAGATTCTGCAGCTGACTAGATATTGCAACCAGGATACTAGCTTTTTGCAATTTGAGAAAATAGATAGAGGTATCACCTTAAGAATCTGGCCTTTCTGGGACAGTTCTTGATCAAGTTATTATCTGTTGTCCAGGTTTGTAAACACACAGAAATATGATCTTCTCAAGGCATTCAAAACTGACTCATTTCAGAGGGACTGCCTCATATAAACTAAATTTGTAGAGAAGCTGATGTATTTATTAGAATGGCTTTTAGTTTATAATAGAAAAGCGTCTCTTCTCCAGTTAGAATACTCAGGTCGGATTAGCATCACAAGAGTACTCAGTAAGCATGGAATCATGGTGGAGTCCAATAGCAAAGAACATTACTAATTCTTTAATGTTTAATTCTGCAGACTAAATACTGCTACATTCTCATTCTTGGAGCCTTCTTTTCTAGACTCTGGCAACTACTCCTTTTCTGTGGAAGACATTTTTCTTTGGGACATGGTTTAGTATCATTGATCAGCCATTGCTTTAGACAGATGCATATAGACCATTTTTAGTCTGCCCTCATCTGGCAGATGTGTACCTGTGGGTTTCATTCCTTCCTCAGAGACTGACCAAATTTCATTTGTTCCAGCATATTTCTCTTAGTTTCAGTCTTGGGCTATCTGTAAGTTTGCAGAGGGGCTCACTGTGGCCTCAGTGCTTTCTCTGCAACCACTTATTTTGATTAATCACCTTGTTTTAAAATGCACCTATGTCTGATAGGCTATGATCAATCAGTCTAAATTATTTAATCTTACTTTCTCCCTCTAAATCTGAGATCTAGTTTAGTGATAATTACAGATTTGATGGTAGAAGGGACGAAAAGTAAGCAAAGGAAGAGGTAATTTTGTAATATGAAGCATCATTGCAAAGTCAGATTTGGCTTAGGAAGAGCCGAAGTCGGCCACTGCTTGCTCTCCTGGCTTTTGTTGGGGGCTCAAATCCATAGAAACAAAAGATGCATTGGCGGGGGTGGGGGGAGGCAGAGATATCTGTGCATGGGCTTCTCAGAAAGTATCGAGTAGTTTAGGAAATAAAAGTAATAATGATGGAAACCTAAGTTGGAATCTGATTGTGAAGGGCCTTAAATCCCACAGTCAGGAATTTGGATATACCTTGGGTAGTGGGACTGTGAAATACTGTACCAGTGGGGGTTTGTTGGTTCCAAACAGTAGAAACTAACTGTCGTTGTCCTAAGTAGACATGGATTTATTGCTGTGGAGTTGCTCAGATAATCAAAGAAACAGCTTAAAGAATCAGATGTGGGAAGGACAGAATTCAGCACTGCTAGGGATTTAGAGAGGAAGGACTAATTGGCAGTTTTCATTAGTGTTCTACTGAAGAGATGAAGCTGTTTTTGTTTTCTGTCACTCCCAAGATCTGCAGCCATGGGCAAAGAAAGGTGGATTGGCCTGGCTTTGGTTATGAGCCACTCCTTGGGTTGGACTAGGCTCCCTGATTGACAGTCCCACCAGCACTGCCAACAATGCGGAGAAGAAATTCTGCAAAGGGAAGAAGAGAAAAGGCATATTGGGAGGCCAGCAGACTGAAAAGCAGTGTGATCATGTCTTACTAGAAAGATGCCTCTGGTGGCAATGAGAGGATAAATTAGGACTCTGGATTAACTTGGATTGATTTGTGTCAGGCTCTGAAATAGAACTAGGGACTGTGTAAGTGACATCATCGGACAGAAGTACTTGGAGCTCTTCAGTGGAAAGGGCTGTATGTCATTCGTTCAGCAAGTAATTATTGAGTGTCTGCCATGTGTCAGGAACTGTTATGGCAGTAAACAAAACGAGGTCCCTGCTCTTAAGGACCTTAACATTTTATTGGGGGAGACAGCAGATAAATAAATGTGCAGTGTGTCAGATGAGGATAAATGCTTGAAGAAAAATAAAGGAGCTGTAAGGGTAGTGTCTGGTGAAGGGGGGTGCTATTTTTTAAAGGGTGGTCAGAAGAGGCCTCTGATAGGATGACACTTAAAAGAATGGGAATTTGGTTTTGTATTTCCAAACCTCAGTGAAATGCAAGCTGTGATTGATAACAATAACTTTAAGAAGTAAAAATATTTTCACAGCCTAGGATGTGGCATTGGATATGGTTATTTGCATCGAATACCAACACGCCCATTTGAAGAAGGGAAGAAAATTTCTCTTCCTGGACAGATGACTGGTACACCTATTACTCCTCTTAAAGATGGATTTACAGAGGTGAGATAATTTTACTACCTGATGATGTATAAAGTTTTCGCTAAAACGAGTCAAGTGTCAGTGTGTGTGGTAGTAGCAGTAATGGAGATAGGGTAAGAGAGGAGTTAAGTGTTGACCATGTTGAATTTGAAATTCCTGTAGGATATCCAGATAGATAGCCTGTGGATCTGGATTTCAGGAACGAGGACAAGACTAGACATACAGATTTGGGAATCATCAGCAAAGAGAGGGTAATTTAACCTAATGAGCAGCGATAAAAATTATTGAGGGATTGGGCCTGGTGGATCAGAGGACTGAGGTTAGAATCTTGAACATTCCTAATATTTAAATGTATGGGCAGAAAGGGGATCCAGGAAAGAACAGGGATCCGACAGAGGAAGTCCAAAGGGAAGACAGAAATCCAAAGGGAGGACAAAGCATCAAGAAAAATTAAGAGAAGTCAGGTTAGAGAAGGAGTGACAAACACATGTCCTGGGCTAGGACACTTTCAGAGACTGGCAGCGGGCAGAGATCAAGTCACAGGATGGAGGGCAAATGGTGGTAAGGTGGTAATGATAGCTGGTGCTTAATCTTTCAAGAAACTGAACTAGAAACAAAGCAAGATGCTGTGTGGGGATGCTTACAAGATCAAAGTAAGACTTTTTAAGGATAAGGTATTTGTACAGGCTTAACAGGCTTTTATTTTTTATTTATTTTTTTAATGTTTATCTATTTTGAGAGTGTGAGTGCGAGAGTGGGGAAGGGGCAGAGAGAGAGGGAGAGAGAATCCCAAGCAGTCTCCACACTGTCAGTACAGACCCCAGTCATGACCGCAACCACAAGTCTTGGACCCTTTTTTTTTGTTTTTTTTTAATTTTTTTTTTTTTTTAACGTTTATTTATTTTTGAGACAGAGAGAGGCAGAGCATGAACGGGGGAGGGTCAGAGAGAGAGGGAGACACAGAATCGGAAGCAGGCTCCAGGCTCTGAGCCATCAGCCCAGAGCCCGACGCGGGGCTCGAACTCACGGACCGTGAGATCGTGACCTGAGCTGAAGTCGGACGCTTAACCAACTGAGCCACCCAGGCGCCCCAAGACTTGGACTCTTAACCAGCTGAGTCACTTAGGTGCCCCAGGCTTTTAGCATGCTTTCTATGAAAGCCTCAAAGGACAGTTAACTCTTGTCTGCATGACTAAATAAAAACCAAACATCCAGAAGGAAAATGCTACAGCTATAAAGAAAGAAAGGGCTGCCACCACTAGCATCAGTTCTAAAGAAAGTAGAAAAAATGCTACAGGGAAGTGTAACCTTTTCTCACTCCCCACCCCTGCCATTGACTGACAGCCAGAGCCCATGTAGTTACATGTTAATCTGCTGCTCCTCATCTGTGGTTTCTGCCCCAGATAAGCCTCTGTGGGCAGTCTGGAAGACCAGAGGCTGAAATGGCAGCTAGGGAAAAGGGCTAGAGGGCACTGGAGCTGGCAGAAGTTGGAGTATCCAGAGATGAAACCACCCATCCACCCATCCATAGACTCCATATAGATTTATCCCTCCCCCACCCCAGAAGGTGGGGGTCTGGCTGCCACATTCATTCATTGATGAGAAAAGATAAGGTGGACTGAAGGGTTAGACATCTTGAGAAACTTTTAAGGACTCCATTCCGCATTAAGACTTTGAGCTGACTTCTTCCGGGAATGATGAAAGTTACAACTGGCTGAGAACTCAGAGAAGAGAAAAGCAGTGTTTTCAAGGTGGAGTAAAATGAGTTTTGGGCATCTGTGAAGGAGGAAAACGTAGAATCTCCTCCTAGGGTGGGAGTAGCTAGAACAGTGTGTGTAATGGGGGAGATGCCACGTGTCCAGAGACTGGAAGTGACCGGATGGGAAGATGTTTATAGCACGTGGTCCTTGACATGTAACAAAAATAGGAAGGAGTGTCTGAAGGCAGAAGTGCCAGGTGAAAACGTTGACAGCTAGTATGATCAAAAAAGGTACCTGTTAGAAACAAAACAAGTGAGCAAAGGGAAAAAGAGGCAAACCGAGAAACAGACTCTTAACTACAGAGAACTGACAGTAACCAGAGGGGAGAAGGGTGGGAGGATGGGTTAAATAGGTGATGGGGTTTAAGGCGTGCACTTGTGATGAGCACCAGATGTTGTGTGGAAGTGTTAAATGACTATATTGTACACCTGAAATTTAATATTACACTGTATATTAACTGGAATTTAAATAAAAACTAAAACAAAAAAAGCGGTGTCTGTAGGACCAGTGAGAGACAGTGTATGTATTTTCTTTGAAATAAACCTGAGTGCTTTTTCTTTCTTTTTTTTTTTTTTTTTTTTTTTTTTTTTTTTTTTTTTTTTTTTTTTTTTTTTTGGCAGGTCCAGCTGTCCTCAGTTAATCCTCCATCTTTGTCACCACCAGGAACTACAGAAATTGAACAGGGACTGTCTGGACTTTCTATTAGCTCAACTCCACCAGCTGTCAGTAATGTTCTCAGTACAGGTGAGCAGAAAAATCTATTCTCTTTTCAACTTACTTTGTTTTACACGATCTTCTTTTCTGCCTCAAGCCATAGATTTTAAAAATTAATGCCAGTGTACTTTGAAAACTGTAGATATGTCCTGCATTTAAACCACTTCTCAGTCTATTTTAGACAAGTTGTAGAGTCAGGACTGTACCTTTAAATTCTGTTTGCTCTATTTCCTCAACAAATGTTTGCAGTATCCCCTGGATAGTAAACGCTGGAGATAACAGAAGTGAGCAGGATAACGTTCTCTTCCTAGAGGGTTCAGTCTTGCTCAGGGGACACATACATGTCTTCCTCCTTTTCTGTATTTCTCGTTCTACCTAATACAGTCATTTTTTGTTTCAGTTTTTATTCCAGCAGCTTTATTGAGATATAATTTACATGCCATACAATTCACCCTTTGAAAGTCTACAATTCAGTGGGATTTTTTTCAGTGTATTTGTGCAAAGTTGTGCAACCATCATGTCAGTCAATTTTAGAACATTTCATTACGCCAGAAGAAACCCTATACCCTGTATCTGTCATTTACTGTTTTTCCCCAGCCCCTCAGGCCTAGACAATTCCTAATCTTTCTTTCTGTGGATTTTCCTAATATAGACATTTCATGCAGTATGCATGGTTTCTGTGACTGGCTTCTTTCACATAGAATAATGCTCTCAAGGTTCCTTCATGTTGTATCATATATTAATACTTCCTTTTTAACGGCTAGATAATGTTCTTTTGTATGGACATGCCACATTTTGTTTATCCATTAATCAGTTGAGGGACATTGAGGTGGTTTCTACTTTTTTGGCTGTTATGAATAATGCTGCCAAGAACATTTGTGTACAGGTTTTTACATGGACCTATGTCTTCGTTTTTCTTGGTTATATTCCTAGATGTGAGATTGCTTCATCACATGACATAGATCTTAGCTTGGTAGGTTGGTAGAGTTTACTTTTCTCTTGCCTTTTTAAAAATCTCCTGTTTTCTGGTTTTGTTTCTTGATAATACCAAGAGTATATTATTTAATTAAATACTGAGGAAGCAAAAGAAATACTGACATAGTTTAGTTGTATTTCATTAATACCTTTTATTCTTGAGCTCCTTTTAATATTTGTGTTCAAAATTTGTTCATACTTGGCTTTGTTCTGGAACGGACTTAGAATGTATTCACCAAGATGCAGTTAAGTTCAACAATTTATTTCTGCACTTGGTCCCTTTGGTTCAAATCCCAGCCCTTTTCAGAGTCTTCATTTTATTTCCCAAAGATGTGTTTTTCTAGATAATATTTAAAATTTCAGTTTTTGGGGGCACCTGGGTGGCACAGTTGATTGGCAGCCAACTCTTGATTTCAGCTCAGGCCATGATCTCATGGTTCATGGGGTCAAGCCCTGCATCAGGCTCCGTGCTAATGGCACAGAAACTGCTTGGGATTCTCTCTC